GTTTTTCCAATATTTGTATTATGCAAGGTAAAATTGAAATTGGGCGATAGTTGTCAAGTTTGTTGCGTTCTCCTCCTTTAAATAGAGGCTTCACTAGTGCGCTCTTCAAAGTGTCGGGGATTGATCCGGAAGAAATAAAACCATTTAGCATATAGAGGACCACATGTTTTATGGAATCATAATTCCTCTTTAGATCCTCCGCACTGATGCGATCTACACCAGGCGCCTTGTTTGCCTTGAAGCTGAAAAGCTGGGATCGAAGGTCAGGCTCGGTCATTTGGGGAAGGAAAGCTGAGGCGGAGCTTGAATCTGAAACACATGTTGCAAATAGAGAAGTGTCACGGGCTACTCCAGAGAACGTAGCAAAGAATTTATTAAAATCTTCTACCAATTTCTTAGTATCGTGGCCAAAAACTGTTTCAAGTGTGTCATCAATCGACCTCTTCACACCTTTGCCTCGCAACTGGTTTACCAAACACCATGTCTGTGAAATATTTGATCGGGCTTTAAAAAACGCTTTACGGAAGTATATTCTTTTCGCTGAACGAATAAGCGCGTTTACGCGGTTTCGCATAATGCGGAATTCTTCCTTCAACTGGGCATTTTTTGGAGACCGGCGACAACGAGCCCAAAGAGCATCTTTCAATTTTATAGATGACAGAATATCATCCGTTAACCAATCATGGTCGTTTCGACGCCGCCTCACAGTAATATTTTTTGTAGCTTGCCACCTAAAAAGGCGGAACTGCTCACTAAACCTAGTGCAGACGTCGTTGAAGTCTTGAATATGCAATAGATTATTCCAATCGTATTTTTGTACCAACTTATCAAATCGTGCGCGATCAATTATTTCTATATTTTGTGTTACAGCCGTCGGCGGCAGCTGTGTTACAAGTTGGCAAGCCACATAGTAATGGTCAGCAAGCTTCTGCTCTATTATGGCCGATTTTGTTGCTATGTTCTGAGCGCGTACATTGATATGGTCTAGGCATGATTTGACAATATGATCACCTAAATGTTCTTCTCGTGTGGGGCCAAGAATCAAACACTCCAGACCGAAATATGCCAATAAATTCAGATAGTCAAACACGAGAGACTTGACTGGCTTAAGCGTGTCGATGTTGAAGTCGCCTACCAAACAGATGTCATTCATGGATTGAAAAGTTTGAAGCTTATTCCTGAGCTCTTCCAAAAACTTCAAAGGATGAGCCGAAGGAGGTCTGTAGAAGGCTAGCAAAAGTAAAGACCATTTAGAATTCCATATCCTTATAAAGAGTGTCTCACAATTAACGAAATCGACATCAAGCTTTTCAGTACCCCACGATTCTCTCACAAAGATAGCAATTCCTCCTCCAAACCGAACGCGTGAAAAAGTGTGCATTATACCCTGGTATTTGGAATTCATTACAGGAAACGTCTTTAACATTAATTTCTGTAAGGACAAAAACATCAAATAGTGACGTTGCATTTTTGACAGTTAGTGTAAACTCATCCCAATATTTTCGAATACTCCTGATGTTAACATGTAACAAACCAAAAGTGCTATCACTGACTGTGTCAAAGAAACGTTGAAGAGATAAAAAGTCTGAGCAGTTAGAAAACTGTACCTCCATAATTCGATGTTGTCATTCGATACCTTGTTATCTGTCGGTTTGGCAAGAGAAGAGCTATACAATCTTCTCCAGGTCAGCAAACCGATGGATGCGTACTGCAGGAGAGGATTCTGTTTTCTTTGCAAACAGTTTACCATTCTTCACCCATGTGAATTTGTAATGCATGTCTCTTACTTTCTCACGTAACTTCCAAAAGAGCTCCTTGTTCCTGCGGGTGAGGTTTTCGTTGAAGAAGAATTTGGGTAAAGACCCGTTTTCTGAAAGAGGCCGCAGCTTTTTTCTTGTGGAAAGCCACTGATCTCTAAGCGCTGCCGTAGAGAATATGTCACGTCGAGATGGTAGGCGGTGCATGGTCACTATGTCACTTCGTTGGAAGTCAGCTAGGCCGAGCTTACTGGCCAGCTCATTGACGACGGTGATCAAGTTCTCATTTGAGGAACAAGGCAGCCCATGTATTTCGAGATTTGAATGTCGGCTATACTGATCACTGTCATTTAACTCGTCCTGGAGGTGTTCAATGGTCTTGGACTGCTCCGTAACTATCTCTCTCAGTGATGTGGTCTCGTTCCGGAGTTCTGTCACTGATGATGCGTTAGCGGTGGCTGTCAAGAGCAGAGAGTCGTAGCTCTCCGACAGGAAGTCAACCGACTTTTGAATCTCTGTTAGTGCAGATTTTAGGTTCTCGACTACAGGTTTTAATGTCAAGAGCTGGTCTATTTTGGCTGGTAAAGAAAGGAGGCTGTCGACGTTGGCCTTGAGGGACGTTAGGCAATCTAGTTTCGACTCCAGTGATCGAAAGTGCTCGCCAGTCACGGGAGATTCCCATTGTGACAAGCCCGTCTCAGATTGAGAACCGGGCTCTCTACTCTGCTCTCGGCACCGACGGCAGCGCCAAATCTCCCGCTTTGCAGCCCCCATGGTTTTAAAGGTGCTGTCTGCAATTCCAGAGCAAAGCTTTCCTACATGGTACGAGTTCTTGCAATCGACGCAGGACATGTGTCGGCCATCATTGATGATCTTTTCTCGGCAATTAGCACACTTAGATGGAGAAGACATGGCAGTAGAAACTAGAACAAGCGGTGAGAAATACCGTGCCGTCTTGTCACGCCGACTGTCCTGATGTGTGCACTCGGCTCGAGAAAAGCGTCGGGCTGAGAAAGCTGGTGTAAAGCAGCCGATGCAATCCAGTCAGGTCGACGCTTGGAAGGCTTGCGCTCCGAGTCAACAACCGATTGAAACGATGGAACCCTGGTGCAGATCAGGGAGCGTGTCAGTGAAGACTCCAGGATTTGGCGTTCGTAGTGGACTGGTTGCCGGGGTTAGCTGAGCTTGGAATATTTGATTAGTACTGGAAATATGAAGAGCAATCGAGAAGAACGATTGCTCTCGGGGACTTCTTCTTCTTCTCTTTCTCTTAATAATAATAATAATAATAATAATAATAATAATAATAATAATAATAATAATAATAATACATTTATTGCATGGAGCACAGCACTGTTTGCGTGACGGGCGCATCAAAGCCAAAACAAGGCTTGTGGGATGCTACCCTAAAATTAACGCTTTAAACATTGCTGCCCGGTATACAAAAAGGAAATAAGACAGATTGACATACACACGTCCTTAGAATGTCCCGAAGTCAAAGTCAGCAGATGGGTGCATGCAACACACAGAATCACACCTCCAAATACTGATGCAAGTACATAGATAAGGTTTAAAAAAACTTAATATAAAAAAGAACCACTACCCGAATTCTCGTCGAGCTTTTGATTATCGTGAGCCCAAATCGAGCGCTCGTGCAATGATTGGGTTTAATCTACGAGCCGCGCTAAAATTTTGCCACTGGGGGCTATGACAACACTGCGACCTCTAAACCACGTCATGAAGTTTTGCCAACAGGATGAAAGAAAAAAGCTCGTTTTAGAACATAGTGTAATACGCCAAAACAACAGGGACAGACAAAACGAAGGTAGAACTAGACAGGACGCGGCGTACGCCGCGTCCTGTCTAGTTCTACCTTCGTTTTGTCTGTCCCTGTTGTTTTGGCGTATTACACCATGATGCAAAACCAACTAGCCCAACTAGCCATCCTCGTTTTAGAACGCAGCATTAGGCGCTCGTTTCCGCGTTGAGCGGCTTCGGCGTCGCCGTCGGTGTCGGCGTAACCGCGCCCGTTGAGTTATGGGACGTCACATACTCCCCTAAATTTAGCGGGGAAACTGAATGCGCAGTGTTGCATTATGGAACGTCGCAGACCTACACACCAATTCAGTTTCCCCGCTAAGTTTAGCGCGGAATTGGATTGGAGTTGAGGTCACGGGACGTCAATTTTCTCGCTAGATCTAGCGGAGAAACTTAATTGGTTCATCGGAGACGTGACGCGATGTCATGTGATGTCTTTTTCCACGCTAAATTAAGCGGGGAAATAAAATTGGTGAGGTCCCGTGGCGTCAATTTTCCAGCTGAATTTAGCAGGGAAGCTGTGAGAGGAGGGTAGGGTAGGGAGGAGGACATGAGGGTACGCAGGAGGAGGAGGGGAGGGTACGGAGGGGGAGGAGTGGGTATGGAGGAGGAGAGGAGGAAGAGGGGAGGGTATGGAGGAGGTGGAGGGAAGAGTATGGGGAGTGAGAGGACAGTGTGAATGAGGAGGGGAGGGTACGGAAGAGGAGGAGGGGGATACAGGAAGGAGAGTCCTAAGGAGGAGGAGGACACGGAAGACGAGGAGGGTACAGAACCTCTATGTGAGGAGAGTGATCTATATCTGTATATATAGGTACGTATGTTTCTTTCTCAAATTGTTTAGCACAGTCTATTGCCGAAGGCAAAATACCTCAAGAGCTGCGCTATAATTTCGCATTACAGATATTTAAAAACGTCTTTCGTTTTTTATTCTCGAAATTACACCCTAAAAAAGAGGTTTCTTGGTCAACGGTGTTGCGCGCGATCACATACTTGAGTATTTTTAGTGCAAGTAAGCTCGCGTAAAGTGAAACACATTCCAATCGAATATCATTGCAGGGCTTCCTTAAGGCCGACTGCATTACGACCTGTCGCGTTATCTTACGAGAGAATGCACTGCCACACTGGTGCCGTCAATAGGGGTCCCTGGAACTGCGTTTCACCGGAGCGAAGGTTTTCCGCTATTTGAAATGAAATGTACATACAATCCATAAGAACTGCTAGTTTATCTCATTGTCGAAAATTTATCGAGCCAAGAAAGAAAGAATGATGCGTGAAAAGGAAGCTCTTCACTTGCTCGTAATCAGTTCCAAGTGCGTGAACCAGCCAAGCGTCGAGGCTGTGCAGTGGGGCTTCGGGAACACGTTCCGCCGGGTGGCTCGCGGGGTTGTCATGGCGGCGAACTGAGGTGGCGCTCCCTGGCTGCAGGTGTAAAGGACCCCTTGAGCCTGAACCCTTCTCTGACCCTGGGGGAGCTGGGAATGGACTCCCTGATGGGCGTCGAGGTGATGCAGACCATCGAGAGGGACTACGGCCTCAGCCTGTCCATGCAGGAGATTCGGGAGCTCAGCATCGGTCGACTCAAGGAGATCGGCGGAGGGGCCGTGGCCGGAGGATCCGTCGCGCCCCGGGGTGCACGCGGGCCTTCCCCTCTTTCGCGGCAGGCGGAGGCGTTTAGGGCGGCGAGACGGCCCGCTCGGCGGAAGCGGAGGAACGTCCGATTAGAGGGGCACTCCGGAAATTTTAACGCGGAATATGTTTAAAGGCTGCGATCACTGAAGAAAGTGCGACGGAACGCCACAGAAACCGTTGCGAAACGTGTTACACATACCTCGAAGGACGATCTTTACGGACTAACATATTGTGAAGGGTTGGGACCAAAAGAACAATAAATAAACAGGAAGGAATAAACGTTTAATCAAGCGAACTTATGCCCGAAACAAAAAGGAAACTGAAGATAACAACGGAGGGTACCGGGTGTCAAAGTCGGCGTAGCAGCAAGATCGACCACTGGCGAAAAACTGACTGCGGCTCGCAAATCGGAGCCCCTTAAGTACACGCGAAAGCTTCAGGAACAATCAGCGTAGAAGGTTCTGTGCGTAGAACATTCGTACCTCGAATAAAGAACAATGTTCTCAAATTCACTAGTCCGCGACATTCCAAAATAAAAAAGGCGCATCAGCTCAGAGGCTTCGAACCTCGAGCCATTTGCGTACGAGCTAAGGACAATAACCATTCGGCCACGGGTGCGCTTGGTCAAAGACGCGCGTGACATTACTCCCCCTTTAAAAAAAAAAAAAAGCATCGTCTCAATGCAGTGTAGTACAAGGCCACAAAATGGAGCAAAACAAACAAAAGAATGACAAAATACGGAGGATGGTAAAACAGTCCTATCAAGCCTAGCACGGGATCAGAGTCCACAGTTTTATCGTGCGCAGTGCGGCTTGAGGCACACGACGTGCACAATTTCAGGTCGTGATGGGCAACGTCATAACGTTCTTGTCCCGTCGGGCACCACCTCGTAGTTCAGGTCTTTGAACCAACAAAGCTCCTTGGAGGGTCAGAAGAGCGCTTCAGGAGTTTCTCGCTTAGTCCGCGTCGTCGTATCGGGGTAGAGACCCACACACGGTCTCCGGGTTTGAGGCGAACGTCGATCCGACGAAGGTTGTACCGGGTAGCGTCGACACGTTGTTGATCTTGAATCCGGAGTCGGGGGAGCTGGCGAACTCCTTCGGTGCGTTGAGCAATCAACTAGGCGTCGTGGCTTCCATCGGCCTGCGGTTCGTGGGGCAGCATCGCGTCGAGCATGGTCGTTACTTTTCGGCCATGCACCAGGTAAAACGGTGCTACTTCTGTGGTCTCTTGCACGGCAGTGTTGTAAGCAAATGTGACATAGGGTAACAGCTCGTCACACGTCTTGTGCTCTACGTCGACATACATGGAGATCACGTCTCGGATAGTTTTGTTTAGCCGTTCAGTTGATTAATTTGTGTGCGGATGATATGCAGTTGTTTAACGGTGGCTGGTGCAATTGGGACGAAGGATCTCTTGCGTCAGCTGAGCCATAAACGATGATCCCCGGTCTCTGATAAGGACTTCAGGGGCGCCGTGCCAGAGGACGATGGACTCGATGGAAAACTTGTCGACTTCAAATGCCGTACCTGATGAAAGAACTTTTTCCTCGGCGTACCGTGTGAGATAATCGATCGCCATGATTACCCATCGGTTTCTTTGCGTCGATGGTGGGAATGGTCCAAATAAATCCATTTCGATCTGCTGTAATGGGGCAGATGGTGGCGCAATAGCCTAAAGGAGTCCTGCCGGTCTCGTAGGTGGTCTCGTCCGTCATTGACACTCGTGGCAAAATCTGGTGTAGCGATGGACTGTTTTCGCAAGCCTCGGCAAGTGGTACTTCTCGCGTATCCTGACAGAGTCCTGTTGTAGCCAAGGTGTCCCGCCGTCGGATCATATTGCCTGGCTTTAAATATTTATGCTCGAATAATAGCCACCGCCTATTGTTTTTACTGAAGTTTTTTGTTGTACAGCGCGCCTTCTCGGATGGAGAATGTTGGCAGTGTTCGAATGAAAACGTGGAGAACAGTGCTTTCTTGTCCCTCTAGGTTCTCGATGAGCCCTCGCAGTTGAGGATAATCTCTTTGGAGTGCTGCCATGTCACTGACATCCACTGCGCCGAGGAAACACTCGTCGTCGTTGTCCTCCATGCAGGGAAGACCAGCCTCGATCGATCCTCAACAAACAATCGACATTAGTGTGCCTTCGGCCGAACTTGTACACCACGGTCATGTTATACTCCTGCAGTCGTACACTCCACCGGGCGAGGCGTCTTGAGGGGTCGTTCAGATTCGCGAGCGAGCAGAGCGAGTGGTGGTCCGTAACCACCCGGAACGGACTTTCGCACAACTGCGGGCAAAACTTGGTGATGGCCCGGACGACGGAGAGGCATTCTTTCTCCGCCGTAGAGCAATTACCCTCCGCCTTGGACAGCGTCCGGCTAGCATAGGCAATTGCCAACTCTGTTCCCTTCAGTATTTGGAGCAGCTGCGCGCCAAGCCCCGTGTTACTTGCGCCCGTGTGAATTTCTGTTTGTGCATGCTAGTCGAAATAGCCAAAGACGGGAGGTGTTTGATGTCTTCGTTTAAGCTCGTCGAACGCTCTCTGGTGTTCTTTTGTTCACTGAAACCTGACGGTGTCTTTTTTAAGGTATGTCGCTAGCACAAAACGTTTCTCGAAATCTCGATCGAAACGCCTGTAGTAGGCACAAAGGCCTAGGAATCTTCTTACGGCCTTTTTGGGGTCAGGAAAATGTGGGTACGGCGCGCACCTTCTCGGGGTCAGGACGGAGACCCTCGCTGCTGCCGACGGGGCCTAGATACTTGAGCTCACCATAAGCGAACCAACATCTCGTTGGCTTGAGTTAGTTCAGTGGCATTGATGGCTTGAGGTACGGCACGGAGTCGTCGTAAGTGCTCGTCGAAGTTGCCGGAAAACACTACAACGTCGTCGAGGTATACAAGACAGCTCTGCCATTTCGAGCCTCCTAGCACGGTGTTTATGAAACGCTGAAGTCTCCGGCGCTGTACATAGCCCGTAGGACATCACTTTAAATTAGTGCAGTCTGTGCGACGTAACGAAGGCAGTTTTCTCCCGGTCCTGTTCGTCAACTTCGATCTGCCAGTAGCCACCCTTCAAGTCCATCGAAGAAAAGTATCATGAGCGACGAAGACTGTCTAGAGTATCGTCGATGCGGTGCAGCGGGTACACGTCTTTTTGTCACAGCATTGAGTCGAGGATAGTTAACACAGGACCTCAGCGTTCCATCCCTCTTCACGAACACAACAGGTGAAGCCCGTGAAGTGCTTGACGGCTGAATTATGTCATCGTCAAGCATTTCCCGAACCTGTTTTTGGATGACTTCCTGTTCTTTCAAAAAGACGCGGTACTGTGACTGCTAGAATGCGTGCACGTCGTCGTCGGTGCAAATGCGATGTTTCGCCACTGGTGTTTGGTGAAATTTCGACGACGTGGCAAAACAGTCACTGTTTTCAGCGAGGAAATCAACCAGTTGCCGGCGCTTTAGAGCTGGGAGCTTGGCGTTCGATCTCGAGATGCGTCGGCGACGTGCTCTTGTGCTGTGACGACGAGGTTTTCTCAGAGATTGCAGTGACCACGGCTGGCGCTTGCAGCCACTCGACGTGGTCCACAATACTACCCTTCGTTAGGTGCTGCGGCCAGTGGCGTCACTGCCCCGGGTGCCGCTGACCCTAGTGACGCCCCCCCCCCCCCCCTCCGCCCCCCATCTCGCTGAGCCTAGCGAGATGGGGGGGGGGGGGGGGGGGGCTGCCGAGAGACCCCCTTCCCCATCTCGCTCTCGTGGTCCGCCGCGGCACACCCCTGAGCGCTGCACCCGGGGCAATCCGCCCCTCTCCCCCGCTCCCTCCTCCTTGTGACGCCACTGGTTGCGGCTCCTCTCAAAAGTTCGTCACGAGAACAGGTGTACGTCCTGCTTGGAGATCCGTTACGCCTCGTGCGACTCCAATTCCGTTTTCAATGGGCAGTTGGACGCTGCCTTCCAGGAGAGCTTCACTGCACATAGCTGCGTCGGTTATGACGGTTACGAAAACACTCGACCGCGGCGGCAGGTTGACATGGTCGGCAATAACTCGGACCCCAGTTGACGTCATATTGGGCCCCACCGGCGGCAGAACAGGGTTTTGCAGCGGCAAATGGTTTGCCCCGGGGTCGATGACAGCGCCATATTTGCCGAGAAACTTCATTCCGAGCTTAACGTCCCTCGCACAGTCTTGCAGAACGACGAAATTCATAGGGCGCGTGTCACTGTGGATCTTGACGCGAGGAGTGCATCTTCCGACTGGTGTAATGAGCTGATCTCCGGCGGTTTGTATTTCAGGTCCATCGGCGTCGTCACTCTCCGCAGGCGGCGAGAGAGCCTCCCACTCAAGATTGAGTAGTCTGCCCCGGTATCCACGAGTGCTGACGCGTCGTGGTCTTCGATAACAAAGTTTAGGTCGTTACGCACCGTTGCAAGAGCATCGCTGCGATGCGTGGCGACGGGAGAGTGGGGGCGCTCCGGTGTTCTTATAGCTGTTTACTTCGGTCGTGTTTGGCAACGCCACCTCCAGGCGGGGCCGCACTTAGTTTTCTGGACGAGATAGAGGGGACAGGCTGTCAAGGCGCGACTGACGAAAAGGCGATGCGGAACGTCGGGGGGACGGAAGACGGGAACCTTGTGGGGCTCTCGGCTCTGCACTGTTAGCAAGTGCCGTGTATTTGGTGAATATTTGGGGTGAAAAACACGCTATTTACACAAATTACCATAAATTTACACGATGAGTAACGGATAATACGTTCAGATATCATGCGAGGTTGTAAAAAACGTGTTTTGGTTCGGTCATACACGCATAACCGTGTAGCCGACCTCGATAACACGCATCGCCTCCGGCGACGACCGCGGCATTGCCGGCTATCGAAGCACCGGAATGCTTGGGGACACACTTAGAAAGGACCGTCGAGACAAATGCCGCGGAAAGAAACATGTCTCGGAAACAGATAAGCACCAAAAGCAATTACGCCATGTCGCGGGACGTTGGCGAAACCCGCGCTTACCGTGGCTCGCCGCCATTTTCTGGTCGATGGCAATGCGGCTTCCCTCATGTCGCCCATGTTTGCATTTAGTTTAGGGCTCTTGATAATAGTTTCTTACACACCACAAATAAAGTCATGGGTCCAATTATTCGTTCAAAACAGTTAAAATGGATATAAAAAGCGTGTCTTCGATGTGAACACGTGACATTGCAGTTGGTTTCGTTTTTGCTTCAACCTTCAACTGCTTCAACTGCAAGCGATCTGGCCGATCTGGCCATGACGCAAGCAACGCAAGCGCAACGTCGATGTACGGAGGAAGGAAGAGCCGGTTGGCTTTCGTTCTTTTTGTTTGACCGGAGAAATTTCTGGCAGCCGCTATAGTTTTGGTTTGACGGGACGCGAGAAGCTTCGCATAGAGCTTCGCACTTTGCGAGCATATAGTGAAGACGTGACCGGAGAAGTGCCCCTGTGATGTTCCCGGAAGACGGAAAGTACCATTCGTCGTGTGTGCTTTGA